TATTATTATTATTATTATTATTATTATTATTCATAATATTATTATTATTATTATTATTATTATTATTAGTATTATTAATTGGCATTAGGAATTCGAAAATTCATTGCCGCAAATACCAAATCCCGCCATTGTTCCCGTCCCGGAGAGCGATCCTTCCATTCACGGTCTTCTTATCCTATTTCTTTTAGGTCTCTTTTAATATTATCCTCCCATCTACGTCTCGATCTATCTAGTGGTCTTTTCCCGTTCGGTATACCGATCAATATTTTGTGTGCCGTTCGATCCTTCCCCATGCGCGCCACGTGACCAGCCCATCTTAATCGGCGTGATTTTACGACGTTGATAATGTCCGGTTTGTTATACAATCGATGTATTCTACGTTATGGAGTTTTCTCCATTCGCCCGTTTCCTCATCGCGTTTTGCACCGAAGATTTTACGAAGGACTTTATTTTCAAAGACCCTAAATTTATTTTCGTCCCGTAACGTAAGCGACCACGTTTCGCTACTATGAAGGACTACCGGTAGGCCTTATTAATTGAATTAATTTATGGACTTCTTCTATTATTTTACTTCCCCCTCCCCCTATTTTATTAGCTCCGCTAGAATCAAGTGATTTTGTAATTTTTTAATTGTGCTTTTTTACATCTGAAATTGTCAATTCGTTAATCATAAGTTTTATTGTATGGAACTCACAACCTTCTATTTCCTGGTCGTTCTCAAATTCTAGATTCAATAGCCTGTCAAAATAATTTTTTCACGTATTTAGTACTCCCATTTCATCCATAATTAAGGGGGTATTCTGGTCTAGAAATTGGAAAAAATAGATTTTTTTTTTCATATTTTTAAAGCTTAACCTTTTAAGAATATGTCCTTAAGAAGATTTTTCAAAATTCAAATTATTTTTGGAGATATAGCTGTTTTAGTGACGCGGCTTCCTATATCCTACCCTTATTATGCGAAACTTTGAACGCGTTTTTCTCGAAACTGTTTTTTTTGTCACGGTTGCAATGATATCTCAAGTTCTACTTAACCGATTTATTTGACATTTGGTGAGAGTCTTCTCTATCCATTTCTCTATCGTACTAATCAAACCTCTTACAACAATTTTCAATTTCTACGATTTTGAAAAAATTCGGAACAGTAAAAAAAATTGGTAAAAATAATGTATCTTTTTTTCAGACAGCCGTAATTTAGTGAAAAAAAAAATTTTTTCAATTCTTTTAGTTCGAACGATAGCGGCATTATTCTTAATTAATAATCTTTTTTATTTTTTTATTTCGGATTATTAGAAGAGCTGCAATCGTGACAACCGTCGAGCACCAATTTTTTGAGACCCCCCACTTCATCAGCCTATATCTTTTTCAATTTTGAATTTTTCACTATTTTGTTTTTTTCATGTATTCTTGAAATATTAATAAATATCTTGTAACATTATAGATAGTGAAAATATTATTCGTCTTTTTGTTATTGCACTTGAAAAAGTACCTAAAATCCATGCTTCTAGACCAGAATACCCCCTTAAATAATTATTCATATCTTTCACTAACTTGGAATCCTTTTCTAAAGTTATTTATCCCCAAGTACATACCACGGACGCATTACTGCTTTGGCAATTTTCGTCTATTTCTTCTACTTTTTGTTTTAGGAACTGTCGCTTTCTGTTTTTGAAAAAATTATGAGCTACTTGCCTAATATTGCAAAATTCGGGTTTCATCCGTGTTTTGGGTCATCCAAGTGATACACGCTTCGTTTCGGACTTTAACGGCTTTCTCGCATTCTTCGTCGAACCATGGTTTATTTTTGTGCTTTTTATAAAAGCCAACGGTGGCTCCCGCCGATTTAATTATCGCGTCGAATATGTTTTCCCTTTTTTAACCGTACTGTCCTCCGTTTCGTCAATTTCCTTTGAGGTCGCGAATCTGTTTGCTACTTCGGCCGTGTACTTTATTCCGTTTTCTTCATTGGTAGGACTTTCTACATTTAGCCGTTTATTTTCTATCCATTGCCCGTTAGTCTTATTTATAGAAAGACCTCTAGTAGCACAAAATATTGAAAAATATTCAATACATATGTATTTAATATTAAAAAGAGATTCAATGTCTATTAATGCACACTCACATACACAACTTATTGATGCTAGAACCTTCCACATTATTCCTTCGACTGTTTACCTAGAATATTTACTCACCCATACACAGATTACCTTTGCGAGGTTTACATAAAACATAATATTTAAATAAACAATAAAATTTCATGCATCGACTATGTTAAATATTATCATATTATACATATAAAACTATTAATCTCTCAATATTGCTATCGTTATTATCATATTTTTTTTATATCATTATATACGTACGTATTCTATTATTAAAATAAACACTAAGATACAAATTGTTGATTAGACCGAGATGCAAAATGTTAAGGGAAAAGAAGGGAAAGGAAAGTTTTATGCTGTCGAATGTGACGTCACTAAATCTGAAAGTATCGAGCAAGCATTTCAATGGGTCAAGAACAATTTGGGTGTGGTTCATATTCTAGTGAACAATGCTGGTGTTTCAACTAACAAGAAATTTATGGGTACGAATTTAATTATTAAACATTTGAAATTGTTTGAAAAAAATGAAAAATAAAAACCGAAATTTTTTATTTTGTTAGATTCGTCTAGACTCGATTGGGAAAAATTATTCAATACCAATGTGTTAGGATACATTGATTGTACCAAACGTGCAGCTAAAATAATGATGGATGCTAATGTGGAAGGTCATATTGTTAATATGAACAGGTTTGATAATGCATTTTATGAAAGTTTTTCATTGTTATCATAGATTGCATTTAGATAAAAATATTTGATACCGTTATTTTTAATTATTTAAATATATTTATTTATATAAATTTTTAACGATAGTACTGGTGGGCACGAAATAATAACTTTCGATGGTATGACTGTTAATTTGTACCCAGCATCTAAACATGCTACGCGTGCTGCTACCGAGATAACCCATAAGGAATTTTATGGTAGCAAAATACGAGTTTCTGTAAGTTAATGCCAAATTTATGTGTCAAAGAATTTATTAACTTTCTGTAATTGTGTGAATTTTGTTAAATTTTTTAAAAAGTAATCATTTCATATAAACTTTTAATACAAATCTATACTGTATTATATTAATACTTAAATGTAAATAAATATTATATTATTTGGTAGTTCAGAAAGTGATTTCGATTTTTCCTGATACAATAAAGGCATTAGTTGATGCAAGCCGGCAAATAACAACACGTGAAATCGGTGAGAGGTTAAATTTAACAAATTCAACTGTTTATGCCCACTTCAAAGACCTAGGTTTAACCTCGAAGCGAAAATTGTCTTCATTTTCACGAAAGTAAAACGAAATTACTTTTCAAACAACTCAATAGTATAATAATAATTTATTATACATATGTATATATCTAGTATATAACATAGTGGATTCTACTCGCATATTTGATATTTATTTTTATATTAATATAATAAATATTAGCATTAATATGCTATATTAAATCTTATAATTTACGAATATATATTTTTTTTATAAAAAAATGAAAAAATATATAAATAATTTTAAAACTATATACAAATATGAAGGGTTACAGATGGAATAAAAATAAGAGAACGTAAATAAAGTCAAATAAATTTATATTATTTCCATAATATTGCATTATTGTTCAATTAAAATCTATTTTAAAAATATAGGGCATCAGTCCAGGATTGGTAGCAACGAATATCACCAAAGCTAATAATTTTGATTTATCGAACGTGAATATGAATCAACCCATGTTGGAACCCAGTGATATCGCAGATGCCGTTATTTATATCATTGGAACTCCACAACGTGTTCACATTTGTGATTTAGTTATTAGACCATTTGGAGAACTTAAGTATGAGGGTCAAAAGTAAGATTAGTTAGAATATATATATATTGTAACTAATATATTGTAATATATATAGTATATAGAATATACATATACTGTATAAAAAACTCTGTTACACTCTGTACAATAAAAAAATTAATTTTCTATTTTGATTTACAAAATCAAGTAAAGAATTAAATATACATAAATATCATTTAATAGCAAATTGTTCTCACAAAATGTTAAACGAAATGACGAATTGTGTATTATGAAATGTTATTTAATGTATAATAAAGTAATTTGTCTTTCCATGATAATGCTCTCCTCTGTCCACTGTGATTTTGTGTCTGTTTTTGTTTCTGTAGACAAAAAATAAATAACATATGAGACAAACTCAAAGATGACTATTCAGAACCAGGAGCTTAAATTTAAGATAGCGATTTTTTAAAGTGAAACTTCATTATGGAGGTTACCAGCAATTTACAAGTCATACAAAAAGTAAAAGATTTTGAGAGGAACGTTTAAATTCAGTGGTGGGAGAAGTGGGTAAATACAGATCAGGCAAGCAATGTATATAAAAATCAAGCATGTAGAAACAAGAATCTTAAGAGTATAAAAACTACTTTGTGCGTACGCGTACATGCATGTGTGATGATAAATTGAGCGATAGAAAATGCGAGATGTTTTTATAAATGAATAAGATACGAAAAAAGATATATAAAAAACAATTTTTATGTAATAACTTTATTTCTCTTTCCTGTATAAAATTAAAAATCAGGAAATATGAAAAATAAAATAGGAAAATACAAAAATTCATAATATCATGTATACGTATGTATAATACATACGTATTCGAGAGAATGAGACGAATGCACAGTTTCAAGAGTAAGATAATTGTAGAATTTATTTATTATAATATTATTACCATATATAATAAAGGTCACCGGTATGGTCTCTGGGTGGAATAGTTAATAAAAAGTACACTTTTCCAAATTCAAGCAATAAAAATGGAATACTGAATGCGATAGTTATGAATAGACACCAAAATCGTAGGATGTTTATCAAAGGAAATATAATTCGTCAGAAATTAAGTAAATATAAATAATCCTTTTTTTGAAACTCAGGTATAAAATATTTGTTGTTAGTAAGGTGAGTCGGGGGAATATGCCAATGCGGGGAATATGCCACTTTGCTATATCTCCTATAATTATAAGTAGATACCAATAGGAGCAAGATTGAGGTGTTTATTATGTACAGCTGACCATACTGCATAAATAATACAGTATACCAACGTAGTTTTCAGTTGCTTTCTAGACATAGTTGGATAAATTTGGTGAGAATCTAAAATTTTCTGTAACTTTAATGTTTATTTTCTATCATATTTATATGTTTTTCTTAAAACGAGTTTTTGTATATTGTGTAGAATTAATAATATTTCATAACGACACTGATTTAAAAACATAATAAGTAAGATTTTTTCTTTTTTTTTTACTTTAACATTTTTTTGTGCATTCAAGGAAAAATGCCACAAAATGAGTTGGGATAATATGCCAGTGGAGACTTTTGTCCTGTGTGCCACATAAGTTTTTATAGTAAGAAAGGACTGAAATGCGATTGGGTGCAATGTGGCAAATGTGAAAAATGGATGCACGAAACTTGTTGTGAAAGTGAAACTTGCCCTATATGTAAATCATAAAATTTGTCAAATTTATTATTGTTATCTCATTTTTTTGAAGTTATTTATTATAATTATTAAGGTAGTTAATCGAAATTATATTTGTTACATTGTAAAAGTATTCAATTACGAGTTATTTGTGATATTTATGTGGGACGAACGCCTCCATGCCAAACTTGATAAGCATTCGTGGAAGGGAACTAGTCGGTGGGCCCTGGATAGCTCAATTGGTTAAAGAGCAGTCGCCCGGAAAGCGAAAGATCCGTGGTTCGAGTCCCGGTCCAGTCAGTCCAGCGGTCCAGTTTTTTTTCACGAATCTTACATTTATATGAAATTAAATTCTTTTTTGGGTAAGTGGCATATTAGCCATACATGTGGGGAATATGCAACTTTCAACACGCACTAATTTATTCTTACTAATTAATAAATAAATAAATATTTAGATTATTGTTTTTGTGCGAATAATAAATAGAGGCCATGTTTATTAAATCCACGTATTTAGGTTTCATTAAATTTATTTATGTACTTTTTAGATTGATTTTTTGTGTTAGCTGTGGCATATTCCCCCGACTTACCTTATGGTTTTCAATTTCCTGTTTTCATCTATATTCTTGCGCTGCTAACAAACATATTAGGATAAACGAAATAAAGACGTTACGAAAAACATATGGAAAATACTGCTGGACAGAACGAAGGTTCTGGTAAAATGCAATGAGAGATCGAATAGAGATATTCTCTAGAAATGTTTTTTCAACTCTATATCCTGACACACTTCGAGACCCTTATTATTTATAACATATCTCGTCTTTATTCTTTGGACCACAAACATATCTTTCTAAATACTCTCGTCTAAATAAAGATCTGAACAACGAAAAATCTAAAAAATGTATTGAATCGTATCGCTCCCTCAGCTTATCGAACTGTGTACACTACGGGTCTCGAATTTGGGACCCGTGGTAAGCTCCACCGATTCACGCTGGGCGTTCAACATCTTAAAAATGTTTTTATTTTATTGAAAAATTAGTATATAAGTTTCTTAAATACGCAAATATTACAATTAATAATATAGAGGAGGAGGTTGTGGCTTTTTGACACACTGGTGTGGACGGTGTTAAGCTACGGAGCGGAGATATTGGGGTGGGAGGAGAGGAAAGAGATCGAGGGGGTACAGGAAAGGTACTTGAGGTGGACATTAGGAGTAGACTGGAGGACACTAGGATACATGGTAAAAGAAGAAGGAAAAAGAGATAAATTGGGAACAAGAGCAGCGAAGAGAGCGTGGAAGTATGAGGAGAAGTTAACACTTAGCCGACCGAACGCCTCACAGAGACCTCTACAGTTTCCACCGCGCTCGAGAAAGCCAAACTGCGCTCTCCACCGCGCATTTATCTGAAGTAGTGTTTTAGAAAATAATTTTATAGCTGGCAAAGACTCCATCGGAAATCCCAAAAATAAAGAGCCGTAATAATGAGCAATAAACAATTTCAAAAATTGATGCATTTTATTATATGTTGTACCCTATATAAATAAGCTCTACAAAGAAAGAAGCGTTCCTCAGATGAAAAGGGAAGAATTACCCGAGCGGTCGGCAACCGACTATTTTGAAAAAGGGTAGATCTACCCGAGCGGTCGGCTAATAGTCCAGTCAAAATAGCCCTGAAATCGGGTTTTTGAGCTATACGGCTGAAAAAATATGGAAATTATCAGAAAAATGCGTACAGCACTGTGGGCAAAGTAAAAAAGTTCTCAACCACCGGGAAAGGGGTGAAAAAAATTAAAAACTACCCCAAAATACGATTTTTGGATTATATGTTGAAAATATCAAAAAAAGTTTCAAATAAAAGTTGTAGAGCATAAAATTTTAGGCCTATCTATATCAGACCATTTTTCCCCTAAAACGCACCCTTTCACCCCTACAACGGTTCAAAGTACTCAAAAAATGAAAATTTAATAAAAAATATAAAAATTGGACTTTTTTAATTTTTTTTTTTTAATTATCTTTAAAAAACTACAAAGAACAATCGTAGGGAAACAAAAAATTTTTTTTTCATCCCTTCTATTAAAAATCAAGGGGTGAAA